CAGGCCTGGGACCCTACATTAAACACACACACACACACACACACACACACACACACACACCATGGTGAGGGTGCGGGGAGGCAGCCTGCACAGGAACCCCCCTCCAGCCCGGAGGACGCCAGGCCCGCAACAAGGCAACAGACACTAGCTGGGCTTGAAGAACCTTCGGTTAATCCTCTAATGGCCAGCCCCCTCAGGCCTCTGCTCCCTGGACAAGTTAATTTGAGCCAAGGTGTCCTAACTAAAGTGTCCCCGCCTACTGTGGCTGCTCTGCCGCCCGCCCACCTGCCTCCCTGCTTCACGCAGCAGGTGGGAGAGAACTAGACCCCTCTTGGTGCCCTCAGATGTACCCTTGTCGCTGACCACGCACCCCGCCTGTGGTGAGGGTGAGGCAGAGCCCCGGGCTGGGGAGACGTTCAGGGAGCTTTGAAGGCAGGCCCCTCTCCCCAGACCCCATCTTGTGCTCGGATGCAGACCACACACAACAACCCACCAGCCCCTCAGCGTCTGCTGTCCTAGACCAGCTCCCTCCATGTTCTGCCCCAGGCCTGGGCCGGGGGGGGGGGGGGGGGGGGGGGGGGCGTGGGAGCCCTCCGCCTAACCCCTCTTCCCTCGCTGTGGTCAGGTGGCCTGGCCATGACGCCCCGCCCCCACCATGGCTGCAGGAGCCTTCTGTTCCAGCTTCCTCGAAGCGGCCTGAGCTCATTTGCAGAGAAGCCAAATGGCAGTCAGCACCAGCCCTGAAGGCCCGAGGACAACGGAGACCCTCCCGGCTGTAGGAGACGGGCATGTCTCCATGACAACCCTGTGCACACGCACACCGCACTGGGGAAGCGGCGGGCACGTGCCCTGGCCCGGCCCAGGAGGCGCCCCTCTGCGGCCTGGCTCCCAGACCCTCACCTTTGTAGCGGGGAGTGAACTGCTTCATGGCCTGCGGCAGGGACTCGTAGAACATGTGCTCCAGGGGGACGAGCGGCTTGCACACGGTGTGCTCGTCGTACTGCAGCACGCTCAGGTGCCCCCCGACCTGGTGCAGGAAGGGCTCCAGCTGCACGCCCCCTCTCACGTCCCCGGTGTCCGCGCTGTCCTGCACGACCATGGTGCTGCCCGGGGCGCAGACTGCTGGGCACAATCTGTCTAAGGAGGGCGCCAGGGGAGGTGGCAACTCCTGGCTGTTAGTGGTCCTCGGCTTTCTTCTCCTCGCCGGCCCGGGGCTTGGATTCCATGCTGTAGGTGCTCACTGGACCCTGGAAAGCAGAGGAGGAGGGTGGATGGAGATGATGGGTGTTCAGGGAAGGCCCACCCAGCCCCGGCTGGTGTCCCGAGCAGGCTCCTCACCGGTGGTGAAGCGCAGCGGGGAAGATGCATCGATTACTCCTGGAGTAATCTATGACAGTGGCCGCCTCCGGGGAAAGCTTTGCCACGAAATACCATCTTGTACTCTTTGCATTTAAATATTAAAACCTCTTCTGAAAAATGTTAATACGCACGGCGGTAAGTCCTTCGAGCGTGGGGACGGTGGCTTGATTGCTCTTGCCATTTCTCCATTCTCCCTTGGGGACAGCAAGCCCAGGCCCACCAAGAAGGCGGCAGCCCCACCCCTGCTTCGGGAGGCCTGCCATGCCGGGGGAGGCTGGGGAACAGGAGTACTTGATTTTCCTAGGGCTCAGCTGTTTGCCTCCTGGCTCCTCTACGCAGTTGCTGTGTGGTCTTGGGTAAATGGCTAAGCCTCTCTGGGCCTGTTTCCCCACATAATGCCAGCCCAGTGCCCCAAACGAAGGGCTCAGTCCGTGTGACCCACCATTCTTTCCAGCGGCATTGCCATGGGTCAGATTGTCACGACAGCCCCAGGCCGCCAAGTCCAATCCGACTCATGGTGACCCCGTAGGACGGGAGAGCACTTCCCTGCAGGTTTCCGATCCTGTGACGCTCTACCAGAGTAGACAGCCTCACCTTTCTCCCGAGGACTGGCTGGTGGTTTCACACTGCCGACTTTGCCATGGATAACCACTTCGAAACCCCAAACCAAACTCACTGTCCATGCTGACTCATGGCGACCCCGGTGGATTTCCCGGACTGTAACTGTTTACAGGAGTGGAAATCCCAGTCTGTCTCTCTTGGGAGCTGCGGATGGGTGGTTTCAAACTCCCGACCATTCGGATCTCAACCCCATGCATAGCCACTGCACCACCGCTACACGGGCAGGCTTGATCACCACCAGTTGGCAAGTCAGGACACAGAGGCCTGCATGCACTGACCCGGCCCCCGGGCCCCCCAGGAGCAGACCTGGGGGGGACAGCAGGGTCCCCTCTGCCTCCGGCCCCATGCACCATGGCTGCCCCGTGCCCTCCTCCAGCGACCTTGCCAGACGGCAGGCTTTCCTGGAACTTTGGGCTGGACACGCCACCCCACAGATGTCCTGCCTTGTTCCGGGACAGTGCCCGGAGACGCTCCTTGCTCCTTCTGTCCAGGAGGACACCCTCACAGCTGTGCCCATCGCCACCGAGTTATTAATACTTTCTCCCTCTGTTGGACTCTTGGCCAACCACCTGAGTCGGCCAGGGCAGCGCTGGGCCTGATGGACCCTCTGACTGACCTTCAGTCCGGCCCAGGCTGCCTGTCAGTGCTCAGGACTGCCTCGTCCACCTGGGCCTCAGCGGGTTGCGGCCCTGGAAAGTTCAGCCCGGCCCAGGCATTCTCCAACCCAGGACTGTCATTCCACATAGACCCCCACCCTGTCCTGCCAGCCCTGGATGCCCCTTCTAGGGAGGGAGGGCCAGGCCTCAGGGTGGGGGCTTCTCAAAGGGGCCTGCATGGCCAGACCATGAGGGGCCAGTTGAGGTAGCAGGGGTGAGGGCCTGTGGTGGGGAGACCTGAGCCCGATGGGACCCGTCCCGCAGCCCCTCTCTGAAGGCAGTACATGTGAGCCCTCCCCCTCACTCCCACCTGCCACCGCCGGAAACCTGTTCTAGGAGCGGAGAAAGGCAGTGGGTGGGAGGGGTCTGGGTGCATAGGGAAACCGCCTACAGAGGACCTGACGTTCTCAATGCCCATCGGTTACTGGGCAGTCAGTCTTGCCTGCAAACTTGGAGCCAGGACGGCAAGAAGGAGGTCTCAGGAGAGAGAGAGACCCAGGTGAGCGGCCCAGCTCTCTCCGCTCTCAGGGCTCACCTGGGTGCCACCCTTTGCCAGTTGCCCTGTGGAGGGGACCCGGGGACAGTGGCACTTCTGGTAAGCCCCAGTGCACACGGTGTCCCAGGCAGGCGCTCCTGCAGCCCCTCTTTCCTCCGTGCGCGCGCGGGGTCACAGCATGGGGAAGTGTCGTGAAAGAGATGGCCTGGCAGTGGTACAGATTGCCTCCCTTGAGCCTCCACAGTGGCCCTCTGAGGTCCCCATTTTACAGGCGAGGACACAGGCACAGAGGGGTGAAGCGACTTGCCGATGTTCACCCACTAGTTTGAGGGGAGCAGGGGTCTGAGCCCTGGCACGTTGGCTCCAGCGTCTGTGTGCTCACCTGCTGTGCTGCGGGGCCCCAGGGTTGACATCTTTGGAAGTCAGGAGAACGGAGCCCCAAGGAGGCAGGGCCTGGCAGCACAGGGCCAGGGGCTGTGTTCTCTCCTTCCCAGCCTGCCCTGACTGCCCCCTCCTCAAGTGGGGAGAGCGGCACTCCCACACTTCTGCAACACCACCGGGGGGTAGAGGGTTAACCCAGTCTGGGCTCGGTGTTGCCCTGCTCTTGGGCTTCCTGGCTGGACATCGGCCAGCCTGAGGGATGGGGTCGCTGCCGCCTCGTGGTACGGCTCCTGTGCTGTTTGTGCAGGCTTGGCGGGTGGGGGATGTGTGAGGGTCCTCCCACTCCTCGGCAGGGGCCCAAGGCTTGCCCTGGGCCCCTGATGCTGACTTGGAACCCCGCAAGGGAGCCGAAGGTTCTGTCTGCTGCTGTCTTTGGGTGCTACTTCCAGCTGCCTAGGGGTGGGCGAGGGAGGGCCTCAGATTCGCCCCCACCACCCCCTTCGACAGAAGCCCCTTCAATGTTTCAGGTTGGGACCGTCTTCCGCCCGGCCTTGCCTTTTGCCACATGCATGCACCTCTGTCTTCAGCACGGCCTTGGCCTTTGACTAGTGCCCCTGTACCCTGCTCCGTTTCCTAAGAGCATTCGACAAGGAAGCAGGGCCCCAGGGCCTGCCCCCTACGCCCCCCACCTGGCTTGCCAAGGCTCTTGAATGAGATGAATTGAACTAGGTCATTGCTCTGAGCCTTGGTTTGCTACCTCCGGCGGCGCTGGTGGCAGCTGTCACCAAGCTCCAGTGAAAAGAAGCCCAGATCCCTGGCCGAGTCCTCTCTGAGCATCTCCACCACTCCCGGCGGACACATGTCGCTGGCTGCATGGGCTACCCCCAGGCCCGACTCCCATGAGTCAGCTAGGGGGCTGGGAAGGCAGATGGGGTGCTCACTGGAGTCTGGGCTCCCGCCCCCACCCCGACACACTTGCTGAACTTGCTGGGCTCCTCTCAGGGCTCCCACGGGAGCCGATGCCCCCCTGTGCACCCCACACCTCCTCCCACAACCAGGCCAGGCCCCGCCCGGCCTCCCCTGGCCCAGGCAGGAAAGCCCAGCTCAGGGGCCCAGCAAGAGCGGACACGTGGCCCCAGGTGTCCTCCACCCTGTCAGTGGTCCCCTCTGGAATGAAGCCACCCTGTCAGGGCCCCACTCCAGGAGATCGAAGGGGTGCTCTCTGCTGATGGGGCCTGGCCCAGAGCCTGGTGGTTCAACGAAGCCCTGGGCGGTCTGTGTCAGGGCGGGTCCTCTCTGCCTTGCTGCCCCGAGGGGCCGGGTTGACAGCCAGTCTCCCTGGTCTGAAAAGGGTGTCACGGATCTCAGGGCCTGCGGTTGTCCTGGACTTGTAGCCAGCGACAAGACCAGTGACCCTAAGAACCCTAGACCTCGCTCATGCCAAACACAATGAGAGATGCCCCCATCAAGTGGAGGTGGGCGAGGGCACCCACCGGACTTGTCACTCCCAGGCGGCACAGCTTATTCCTGCCAGCCTGTGTGTGTGTCACCTCTCCTCGCACGCTACATCGGAATCCGGTACAAATCACAGGCGGCACGCCTGCCCCTTGTCGGAAGTCGCCATTCCCAGCTTCGGGAAAGCGGACAGATGAAACTACAGATCAAGCCGGTGAGGGCTCAAACCTGAAATCAACTCGCCCCAGACTCTATCTTTTCAAAGCTGAGCTCTGGGAACAAGCTGGCCTCCTGTGGTAGGAGCCGGGGCTGGCTGTGGGCATTAGGATTCTCCCCCTCAGGCACGGGACACCTCCCCTGTGCACGTGCCCTCCTTTGTCCAGGCTAATGTGGATGGGCCTCACATGCCACGGTGGCTGGCATCTCAGCCGTGGTGATCTGGGAGGCATGTGCTGCCGTGCAGCGCTGAGTGACACGCAAACTCACTGCCATCGAGTCAGTGTGGGCTTCCGAGGCTGTAACTGTTGGAAGGAGTAGAAAGCCTCATCTTTCTCCCGAGGAGCGGCTGGTGGTTTCAAACCACCGACGATGCGGCCCAGTGTGTAACCACTGCTCCACCGGGGCTCCTCCTGGTTGGGTATACAGCACCAGACACAAGTACTAAGTCTTTCTTCCATTAGGCCTTGCCGTTTGGAGGGTGGTGTTTGTCCAGCATAGCCTGCCCTGTCCTGACTAATTTGCCAACCCCAAATATTTGGCTAACAGCATGGGACCCTTACGTTGAAAGAGACGTCACCTGAGTCAGACACTCAAATGTGATGACGCAAATCTACCCTATATAATAATAGCCACGCCTGTTAAGCCTCCTGCCACCTGCCTGCCATTTGCAGTACTGTGGTGGCCTGCATGTTTCCAGGATGATGGAAAGGGTGCCACTAGCATTTCCAACACCAACAGGGCCACCCGTGGTGAACAGGTTTCTGTCTCAGAGTAAGACTAGGAATAAAGGCCTGGCACTCGGCTCCAGAAATCTCACCAACAGAAACCCTCCCAAGCACACAGAACGCTGCCTGACAGAGCCTGCGGGTTGGGCTGCGCTCCCGCCTGCAATGAATGGAAGAGCGGCCTTGCACACAGCAGGATTGGAGAAGGCGGTGCAGGGCTGGGCGACACTTCTGTGCTGTCGCACACAGGTCTCCCCGGGCCGGCCAGTTACCAGCAGCTAAGACTAAGGCAGCCCCCACTCTGGGGCCACTGTCACCCCAGCCACCCTCTCTGCTTCCCCACATGGTAGTTTTCTGGGACCCAGGCCCTGGTGGCTTCTTATGCAGTGGACATCCAATTGCACAGACCCCTGTGAGCCGTGGCTCCTAGAGCCAGGGTCCTACCCAGGCCTGACACCAGAAACGAGAGCCTTCCGGGGTTCCCAGGGACGCTGGTGGGGTTCACAAAGCCCTCGGCAGTATGCATTCATGGGGAGTCCTGCCTCAGCCGTGGGGCGCCGCGACCTTAGCCAAGTCCACACCCAACTACCAGTGTCAACGGGCTGGAACAGCGATACCCAAGGAGCAGGACCGCGCCCCCAATGGATACAGGCGTCGGTGATTATGAAAGTACAGTTCATTGAAAGGCGGTTTTTGTTCGTCATCTGTCTTCCCCATCAACAGGTAAGATCAGCACATAGGGACTGCCAGCGGGGGAAATGAGGTCGAAGGACAGGGTATATTGCTTGGAGCTGAGATTTGAGTGGTGGGGGTGGCATGAGAGGTCTGTGGGAGGGCCTGCTCTGGGGGGTTGGGGCACAAGGACCAGTGGAGTCAGGCCAGGAGACAGTGACCAGGAGGGGAGGCTGAGTGGACAAGGCGTGGGGTGCCTCCTTCCATCCCTCTCCCCTGGGCTGCAGCGGCCGCCTCTGCATCATCCTACCAAAACCAAGCTCGCTGCCCTTGACTCAGGGGCCCCCAAGGCGGAGGGGCAAGGCTGTGTGCCTGGTGCCCAGTCCACCCAGGAGTAAGGTAGTCCCCTGAGATGGGCGAGGTGTTGATGCCCCCGGGGCACATCCGAATACATCTTGGGTGGTGGGGAGGGTACTCTGGGCACCCATCATAACAAAGGAGCATGCGGGGGAAGCAGGCTGCGGTGCGGAACCCGTCAGACTGCCAAGTTCCCAAGCAGCATGGTGGATGGCCTGCCCTCTCACCTCGGAGGCTCCAATGTACATTCCCCAGGCCTCTCTGAGCCAGAGGTTCTGTGCAAGTACCATTCAATGTCTTTACAACACCCGAGGGAGCCTTTCTTAATCGGTATGAGATGAGAGGGCCCGAAAACCATTTAAAACCGCTTAGGTCACATAATGGGCGGGGGAGTGGTGGAGGTTCTCAGGGCGTGGACGGGCTGCATATCAGCTGGGGCCATCCAGGCGGGGAAGATAGGAGATGGTTTTCTGGGAGGGCGGGGGTGGAGGTGGGTGGGGGTAGGGGGAGATCCCAAACACCCAAAATCCATTCTGAAACTGACTGCAGGGAAATAGGAGTGTGTGGCCTCTGCGTGCTGCCTCCCCTCACCCTACCCCTCCGCCCTGACACCCCCACCCCACCCCCGCCAGGCCCAGGGTGTCAGGCTGGGTAGGATTAATACAGCCAGGCTCAGGGTGTGGGGGGCTGGGGGCTGGGGGGCTTGGCTCATCACCTGCCCAGCTGTGGCGGAATGATGTGGCTTCCGTTTCCCGGGGAAGGCTTGGTTTCCAGACTCCCAGGGCAATACTTCCTATTCCTCCATCTCAGAAACTTATTTCGGGCCTCATTTTATCCTTTCCAAGTTTTTTTCCCTTCTTCTTCCGTCTCTCCTTTTTCTCTTAACCTTTACAGTCTCCCAATGCTTCTCCAGCTTGAGGACCAAATACAATTTTAATACAGCGATGATTAGTTTAGAAGCCCTTCAGCCACTGACACATGTACTTAGCAGCACCAACAATGTTCTGCTCTTGCCGTCAGGGTGGGAGGAACAGGGGTGGGGGTGGGGGATGACTCTAGAAGCAGAACCTTCTAGAAGGGCCACTCCTTTGGGTGGGAGTCGAGGACAGATGGATGGACGGAGGCCAGGAGGGCTTCTCCTCTGTCTGCCGCCCCCAGAGAGCTAATATCTCCTGCCCACATAGGCTACAAGTGAGGGTCCCTGGGCACTGTTTGGAATGATTATCAGCCCCCCCTTCTGGGTGTGGCTGCTTTGGACCTCGCCCCCTTCAAGATGCATCCAGGACCTTAGAGATTGCTAAGCGCCCTGACCTCCACATTTCCCGACTCCAGCACCCCTCCCTACACCTTCCTGTCTTTCTCCAAGTAATAGGATCTGTCTTAGGCAAGGGGCCCCTGAGCTGGAGCGGAGAGGTTTCTGGCAGAGGCTAGCAATGGCTTGGTCGTGTCCAAACACAGTGATGTAAACTGCTGAGTGAGTATTGTGAGAGTGTGCTTGTGAGTTTAGTGTGTAGATGTGTGAGATTTATGTGCGAGTGTGTGTGTGTGTGTGTGTGCATTCACACATGCATGAGAGGGGGTGGGTGGGTGGGGCTTCAGACCCTAGAACTGGAGGGCTGGTGGGTTATGTTTGAGCTCTTAATTGAAAGATGAGGCAGTCGGCCCCCATAAAGATACAGATTCTCAGGAGCCCCACAGAACAATCCTACTTCACCCTACAGAGTTGCTGGGTTGGAAGGTGGGTGAGGTGTTGGACTGGTAAGTGCAAGGTTGGCTGTTCAAATCCACCAGCGGCTCCCCGGGAGAAAGATGAGGTTCTCTGCTCCCATGGACTTACGTTTCTGCGTAGGGCTTACAGGAGTTGGAGGCACCCCGCTGATGGTGGGTTTGGGGGTTTGAATCAGGAGGCCCTCAACTGAGGCCTTTCCCCAGCAGAGGGCAGCAGCGGACGGACACTGTGTTGCCAGTATGCCCAGCAGGGCTACGGGGTCTTAAAGCTCTCCTGCAGCCCTCTTTGCCCTGGTGACCAGGGAACGTTCTCCTAACACCTCGGGGCCCCAGAGAGCCCGGAATGGCAGCTGAAGTTGTCCTGTCTTGGCTAAACAGATTTCAAAAATCTCAGAATTCCTCATCCCCACTGAATTTTCTCCAACCCCCACTTTTAAAGGTGGTCTGGCAAAGAGGGTGGTGGGGTAGGGTGCAGGTGGAGGAAGTTCCTGGTAGGCCAGAGCCACTCAGCCACCAGGGGTCGGCTGAGGGGTCTCAGAGTAGAGGCTTTAGGTCTGTCTGCACTCAGGGGAAGGAGCCCCCAAACCAGGAATGGGCTTGCCAGGAGAGGTGGGGCCTTCCAAGCATTGCAGAGCCTCTGAGCCAAGCAGGCAGGAGGCTCGATCTTCTCCCCTCTGCCACGTCCCCTCTGCACAAATGCAGCTGGATCAACACTCTTTCCCCACCAGCTTCAAGCCTGGTGTCCTGGTCTCCCCAACAGCAGGGGGGCGAAGCAAGCATTGTAAGAGGCCAGGAATACACAGGCAGCTGGGTGCTGGGCCTGTCTACCCCACTCACCCAGCGCTGCCTGCCCCCACTCGGCTGCCATCTCCAGCCTTCAGCTCCCCCTGCCAGCACACTGGTTCCCTTCCCTGCACAGCAGATGCTTTGTAAAATTAATCTCAGCTCCTGTGGCTGCCGGTGAACCAGATACCGCTCTGGATGGATTTCTGCCTGGGAATAAGTTCTCTAAGTGCCCAGCTCAGAGCAGGAGGAAGCAGGGGCTGGACTGGGGGGCCTGTCCTGCAGCTCCGGGATGCACTGTGGCAGAGGCCAGGGGGGTTCCCCAGGGCCTCGGGGTCCCTGGTGGGGCAGGGACACAAGGAGAATTCATCACCCGGGCTGAATTCATCATCCTGGTTCCACCGCTGCCTCCCTGCCTCTTCCTCTCTGGGCCTCAGCCCCTCCATCTCTATAGAGAGCTGCCTGACCTAGCACATCTCATCCTCCTTTGGGACAAGTGGCCCTGCAAGCCGATGACACAAGGTGAAAAAAATCAGAATGGGGCAAGCAAAGACTCCTAGGCTAAAAGAGGCTCCAGAGTCACGCCGACCAGAGGCAGCCCGGATGGGTCCTGATCCACACGCAGCATGAAAAGACACATAAGGGTGATTGGAAACATTTCAGAGGGGACTAGAGGTAGATGCTTTCTGAGAATTGTTCCTTTTGTTCCGGAACACGGTACTGGAGCTATGTCAAGATGCATTGAGGTGCCTTGGGGGAAGATTGTGACGTCTGTAAATCATTTCACATACTTCAGCAAGAAGGTGAAGCTTCAAGTCCAGGTGCAATATGCAAGTGTTCATGACCTTACCGCTCTCTCTACCTGTGGGGCCTTGGTGGCAGAGTGATTACACACCGGGCTGCTAACCCCAAGGTCAGCAGTTCAAAACCACCAGCTACTCGGCAAGCGAGAGAAGAGGCTTTCTACTCCTGTCAAGAGTTGCTGTCTCGGAAACCACAGAGGCAGTTCTGCTCTGACCTATGGGGTCATTATGAGTCAGCATGGACTTGATGGCATTAAGGTATTTTTGGTAGTTGTTAAAGTAAGAATCATAATAAAAGGATGCCTTTTAAAAATCAGCAGTGCCTAAGCCTCAGCCCCGTGGGACCTGGCTCTCCGGTGCAGGAGCCTGGGTGGCTATTTGGAATGCTCCCTGGGCGCTGAGAAGCCAGGGCAGAGATTGCTCAGATCATTCGATCTAGGATCTCAAGTTCTCATGGGGAGACACTGGCGAGGTGGGGCCTCAAGAACTCTGCCTCTTCCCCAGGTGCCACCTCCAGTATCCTCACCACCCACTCCCCGGGGACTGCCCCACACCCAGGCCCCAGGCTGCTGCCCGCGGGCTGACGTCACCCCAGGCGGAAGGGTGGGGCTGCCGGGCAGGACATGCCGTTCCTGCCGCCTGCTTTTCCCGGGGACAGCCCCGAGGTTAAGGGTTCAGGTGGGCCTGGCATGGGAACAGGTGACTCCAGCCTCTGTACTTGCCTGGCTGCGTCCTCCCACAGGGGCCTCACTGGGGAGGAGGGCTGGCAAGTCAACCAGGGACAGGGGAAGGGGTGGAAGAGGAACGACACACTACAACTGTGCTACATGCCACCCTCCCCTGCCCCTCCAGGCTGACCTGCACCGACCCCTGCAGCCCTGCAGTATGAGTAGGCCCTGTGGGCATGGGACCCTCTGTCCCCTTGCTCAGCCCACCCACCCACCCCTCTTCCGCCTCTGAGCAGCACTCACCAGCACTCTTTTCTTCTCCGAGGGGCTGGCCCAGCCAAAGTGAGCTTCGCTCTCAGTGCACCAGGCAGAGCCGAGAGCACACGTCCGACTGCCCAGGCCGAGAGGAGAGTCTGCCCAGGAGGCCGGGCTGCCAGTGGCCTGGGCGGGGAGGGTCACCTGATGCTTGGGGAAGGCCTGGCAGGGCTGGTGTGTCTGCAGGGCGGGTGACTGCTCTGTGGGTGAGGGGGCAGCGGGGAGGGGCAAGAGGAGGAGAGGCGTTATCTCCAGAGTGGGGCGTGTAGTGCGGCTGCTTGAATGCTTGCAGGTGCTGGGCACCAAGGGCCTGTGGTTCCTGGAGGTGAGGTCAGGGTGATGGGGCAGACTGCCCCTCCTCATCCTCCCTGCTTGCAGGCACCAGGCAAACAGACACAGAGGACACCCTGTTCAGACTGACCCCAACCCCACTAGACAAGCCCCTGCTGTCAGAAGATGAGGCGGAGGGTGGGGTGGGGGTGGGGGGTTCCATTCCAGTGTAAGTGGGCCAAGAGCCTGGGGCACAGGAGGAGGCAGGAAAGGCTTTGTGGAGGAGGTGGCCGGTGGAGACCCAAAGGGAAAGTAGGGGTCATCAGGCTGGGGTGGAGGAGGGTGGTGAGGACAGGGCACATTCAAAAAAGCTGGGGGTGGGAGTGTGGGTGTCGGGGCACCTGACAGTGGGAAGTGATGAGGGCTGGGGGGCGCGGGGCGGGAGGTGAGCAGAGGCTTCCCTGCTAGGCAGGAGGTTCGACCACTATCCTTAGGCTCTGGGAGCAGCTAAAGACTCACCTTAGTGGGGGCCTGGGGTCTGTGTGCCACTCCACTTCGAGGAAAGGGACCGGGGTTGGATGGCTTCACGCTCAGAGACTGGCACTCACCATGACTGCAGCAATGGCCGGGCACAGGAGCTGTCCGATGGTGCAGGACCACGAAGGTGGCCGAGGAGGGTGGAGGTGGGGTGTCCCAGCAATGACAATAGGTGGTTCTGAGGCTTGCGGGAGCTGGGCGGGCAGGGCCCGAGGTGGAAGGGGTGGGGTCAGAGATGTCAGGGGGCAGCTGGGCCAGGTCTGTGACTGGTGGCAGGGACAGGGGTCAAGGCACACGTTTCACAGATCTTCACGTGGCTCCAGCTAGCCCAGACTCTGGCCAGAGTCCCCTGGGCGCTAGTCTCTGCCCTCCGGGCTCCCTCCTCCTCCCTGTGTGAGTCAGCTCGGTAACAGCCTGCACCCTGTTAGGTAGGGACTTGTCCTTCCCTTGGCTGTACAGGCTCCCATAGAGGAGGTTGGAAGGGAACCAGGTAAGCACTAGCCACCCGCGAACACTCCCGAACTAGGCATGCTCAAATTCAGGCCCCAAGCCAGGTGGGCGGTACACCCGGGCGGCCCAAACTAGACTCAGGTGGGCTTAATTCAGCCAATGGGGTCAACCAATACCTGTGACGACGCCTCCCCAGCCAGAGGTTTGAAATACCCTGGTGGTGGAAAGGCTGCTCTCTTTTTACCCTCACCAGAGGCAGGTGGAGGTAGGAGGTGCACACACGTGCCACTGGGTGGGCCCCCTCAGTGCCGCCTCCGGGCCTATTGGGGACCACAGCCTGTCTCCCCCCACCCCAGTGTTTGCTCGTGCCGTGCCACGTGCTTTGGCCTCAGCTCACCATGGTGGGTGCACTGTCCCACAAGGGTGCTCGTGTCCAGGGGTGAACCCCAGCGCAGCTTACACGCACCTTGGCACGATTCCCTAAAAGAGTGTGTACTCTTTTGAGACTAAAACCTGAGACCCCTCCCCTCCTTCATAAAAACCCACTTGGATCACAAGCCAGGCTTTGGCGTGACTCCCTTCTCCTGCGAAGCCACGGACCGGGCTATTTCCCACTCGGGAAACCTCACAACCTGACTTCCTATGCCCGCCCCTCGGGCCCAGCTCACCTCACTCCGGCCCAGCTTCCTTCAGACTCTGGGCCTCTCCCCAACTCCTGTGTCCCTGCTCCAGGGCCCTCACACACCTATCTCCTGCAGAAGTCCATAGCTGCTCAATCAGCCTCTCCCGGGGCCTGCTGGCTCTCCCACCTCTCCTTCCCCATCTCCACGTGACCGTGAGGACACTGTGTACCAGGCAGCCTGGCACAGAGAGAGCCTGAGTGTGGACGAGGTCGGGCTAGAAGCTGGAGGCCCAGAGGGTCATCCCTGCCTGGGCTGTGGCCCATGGACTTGCCCTCCCGCACTTGGGCACCTCCAACGTTGCCAGTCCCCATGTCTTCATTTCCTTGTTGCTTGGTCCTCCTGGGGAGGGCTGGAACCTGGGGGAGTAGCTGTGTGTGTGTGTGTGTGTGTGTGTGTGTGTGTGTGTGTGTGTACATGTGCTCACAGAGCTGAGGACTGCAGAAGGGGACATCAAGCGTGGCTTACAAGTGACAGAGCCTGTCCTCCTTGGCGCTGTGGAGCGTGTGTTTACGCCGTGGAGCGTGTTTAGGGGTGTGCACAAAGCACTTCTTCCCTGCTCCTAATACCCCCGCTCCCAGTCCACCAAGATGCCCCAAGTCCCTCCACAGAGCCTCTGCTGAAGGATCGACTTTGTGGCCGAAAAGGTGTCTGTGTGGGAGGGTGGACTCTTTGGGCCGCAGAAAGCAGGAGGTGGGGACATGGGCCACAGGCTGGTGAGTTTGACTAGAGCAGTCAACCTGCAGAAGGGGGTCTGTGGGCGCGCTGGGGTACACTGGGTGCTGGCAGTGGAGCAGGGCCCTGGGCACCCACCCAGACTCTGGCATAGCCCGGCTGCTCAGTGTGTCCCAGTGAGCGCAGGCAGGAGCGGGGATGGGGGGCGGGGGGTGCAGCTGGCTCCACAAGGATGGGGGCCTGTGTACCCTCTGCCCATCCTGTGCCTGGCCTCCTGTCCCATCTAGCTGTGCCTGGGAAAGACCCCCTTTCTACTCGCCTTCCCCCCTCCTGCTCCTCCTCCCTCTTTGGGGACCCGTAGAGATCCAGCAGGTTCCATGTTGGGCTGCTAACTTTGAGGTTAGCAGTTCAAAACCGTCAGTCGCAGGGAAAGATGAAGTCTTCCATCAAGAGCTGCAGTCTCTGAAACCCACAGGGACACTTCCACCCTGCCCTCCAGGGTCACCGTGCCCCAGAACTGACTCAGTGCAGTGCATTTTAAACAAGCAATGGTACTGTCCAGCCTAGTGACACAGCCGGGGGTGGCTGCACCTGGCCGGGAGCCTGGGGTGCAGAGATTGAAGCCAGGTGCCACCCCCTGCTGCGTGGCTGTTACTGTGCAAACTGCACACTGACTGCTCTCTGTCTGTCCTTCCATCCAGCCAGGGGGTGCCGCTAATGTGGGCACCAGCCCTTCGCCCACAGCACTGCAGGCTCGGCCCAGCGAGAGGCACGGGCAGCCCCGGGCCAAGTTCGCGACCGATTTCCCCACCGTCTGGCGGCCTCTCTCTGCAGCCACGGCTGGGCCATGGCACCGGGCAGCACACCATCCAGCCCAAGCTTGCTCCAAGTCCTGCCCACTGGGCGGGCTTCCTCCGGGCTGGCCCGGAGGGGCGGTGCCCTCGCAGCGGGGCGCTGGGGCTCCTCCGCACAAGCGCCAACCGGGGGTCGGGGGAAGAGAAGGGGGTTTCCCCACCCTGACTCAGCCG